AATTAAATTTTAAATATATATATATATATATATATATATATATATTCTAATAAATATAAATTGATTACAAGGTCTTGAAAATCTGCAATTGATTATAGAGATCATGATATTAATTTTAGTTGTCACCTTTTCCTTTTCTTGACGCGTGTTATAAAAAAAATTACTACTTAAAAGTTAAAATTTCAAGCGTTTTATGTGTTATATATCAGAGGAACAAACTCAACTAAATGGAGCAAAATAAAGAAAGTCAATTAAAAAGAACATAGAGAAAAATAGAGCAAGTCAATGACATTATTATTTACGTATAGGAGTTTTACCAAATAGGAGAATGAAATGGGAACAGAAGTACAATATTATTAGCAGAGAAAAAAAATGGAGAAGACATGAACATAGAAAAAAAGATGAAAAACTCACTTGGAAATTCTTGAAGCACTTAAAGTCACTTCAAACAATCCTCCAAAATTTTATGAGTTTGGATGTGATTGTTTTATGAATTTGGTATTTATAGATACTACTAAAAAGTCCTTCAAAATCTCTCTAATACAACAATCCTTTAAAATTCTTATATTTTTGAATATCAATGGATTATTTTTAAGTTGTAAAAAATCTCAAATGAATACCAATGAATTTTAAATAACTCTTTAAAAAATCTTGAAAATCCATATTGAATACCACTGGATTGTTTTTAAGTGACATAAAATTTTGATTGAATACCAACGGACTTTTTTACTCAAAAAAAAATCTTTTAAAATCCTATGAAATCCTAAACCAATACACCCCCTTAGTCTTATTATCACTACTATTACACTGTAGCTATTATTATTTACATTGACACAAGTATAAAAAGATTGTCAATGCTATTCCTACTATCCAAACACACTCATTAAATTAATTTTAATAAGAAACTTCAAAAGAAAGATTAATTGAAAATTCCAAAAAAATAAAAATAAAACTAAAATCTAGTTGTAGTTTTAACTATTTTAAAAATTAAAACTAAAACTCATACTTTAAGAGTATGTTTGAAAAAATTGTAAAAATTAAATTATTTCGATAATGGATTATGATGGCAAGCACGGATCTACATTGTGTATAGTGGGGCACTTGTTCCCACTACCATTTGATACATATATTTTTTTATTCAAAAAATAATATATTTTAAAAAATAATAATTATATTCTAATAAAATAAATATATATGTTTAAATTATCATATGTATAAAATGTAAATTTTCAAGAGATGTTCATTCATTTGATGTTTGTCATCAAACTTTTGAAGGAGATTAATTCTCTTATGTGATAAAAAATAT